CACACACACACACACACACACACACACACACACACACATTCTGCAAGGCAATGGACGTGATGAAGCCGCTCACTCAGAACAACGCTGAATTAGCAAAACATGAGGGATAGTCATGAATAGTTTGGGAGGGTAAAGATGCTTATTTATAATTAAAGGAAGTTCCTAATTTGGGCAAAGGAAATTGATATGTTATATAGAAAAAATGGGGTCTGGAGTTCTGGTTTTTGTCCTTTATACTTGTGAATCTTTGTTCTCTTTTGTTGTATGTTGTTTAAACTATCACTGAGCTGGATTTTAGCTGATGCATTATGGGAACATTAAGAAGGTGCTTGCATAAAAAAGAGCTCATTTGGGAGCATTGTTATAGTCTACATTGGGATCTTTTCTTCTTTTTGTCTGCAAAACATTTCAGGAATTAGTGCTGGTTTTTAGAAAACTGCCAGAACAAGAAAAGAAACCACGTTAGACTATAACAAAGCACCTGTTGACTTTGTTGTTTTTTTTTCTGTCATAAGCTTTTGCTCATGTGTGGCAGTCGTGCTCTGTCTCATTCATGACTTATTATGAGGTTTCTCACTCGTCACTCCTTAGCTTGTAAATAATGTGCGTACCAGAAAACAGAATGTCACCTACTAGTCAACGCCTCGAAAGACTGGCAGATCGTGCTGCTCAGCTGACAATGTGCATCATATCATAATGTGGATCAGTTACTGTGTTTAATTAAAAAAATAATAATAATAATGTCGAAGAAAATAAACTTATCTATGTGGCTCAGCTGGCCACCGTTCATGTGTGTCTGTGCTTTTTTTTTAAATTATATATCTGATCATTTTTTGTTGTTACATGCAATTTTATTCCGGGACAAATAGTGTGCACAGTTTTTACGGGCATTTTAAATGGATTATCTTGATATATGTGATAAAGTTGCCTCTCTGAATCATCAGTGACCTCAGTGGTTGTGCAGGAGTCTTATCGTCAGATTTTAGCACTTGTTTAAAACCATGAAGAACTGGCCGAGCTGGTAAAACGTAAAGGCTTCTCCATTCTTGTTTGTTTTCAAATGCCATTCCCTATTTTCAGCAGTGAGCAGCACTAATCTAAATATTAGCTGCTTTAAATATTAGCTGCACTAACCCTAAAGCACTAACTCTAATATGTAGGTCCCCTAATTCTAAAGCGCTAAAGCACTGGAAATTTTAGCAAGAGCTAATTCTGAAGCACTAATATAATCCAGCTGTCACATGAAACATTCTTCAGTCGACATGAGACATTATTTACTATGTGCAGAATGTTGTCACTTAGTGCCCTTGGCGGGCCAAACAGGAGTCACCCGCAGGCCCCGTTTGGCCCGTGGGCCTTGAGTTGACACGTGACCTTGTAGATAAGTGACACGCATATGAACAAAATGTATGACAGCTTTCACCCTCAACTGTGAACAATAATGTTGATCAATAACATTTAAAGACCTCAGTCAGTGCTTCTAAATTTAGCCCATAAATTTAGCAAGTGCTAATCCACTAATGACTTTAAAAAAATAGCAAAAGTCCCAAAGCACTAATCAAGAAATTAGTTTCCTCATTAGTGCTTTAGGGGAACTGTGCCCACCACTGCCTATTTTGCATACAGTACCTTTATTGAAACCTTTTTTAAAGGCACAGTGTGTAGGATTTGTTTTCAGCGACATCTAGTGGTTGAGTGGTTGAATCATCCTCCCTGGTCCTCCCCCCACCCCCACCCCCCTGCTTCCAAACATAAAGGAGTTGCTACGGTGTCTCTCAGGTGTCAAAAACCTTTGATAATTCCAACCGCGATGTCTACCAGCAGCTTCAGGGCTAGTGATGTTTCAAGTGGTAAGATTATGAGCTTTAATAAGTAAAATTATCCCAGCTACAATGACAGACAACAAATATTACATTTATAGTATTACAACTAAAACCGTTTTTGACGCCGCCACCGCAGTTTGTCCTTCATGAGCCTGCGCAGACAAGATGGCGGTGCAAGATGGCGGCTGCCTGTAGTGGCGACCTGCGACTATGGAGATATAAACAGCTTTTTATAAGGTAAAAATAATAAAACAAGGTCTTTGTCTGCAATGATTAGACATGTTTTTTATTATTGTCATTAGTGATTATCTCAATTTTGGCTAAAAGATTTGACAAAATCCTACACACTGTGCCTTTAACCTCACTTTTGTGTGAAATAGTCAGGTTTTACACTATTAAAATGTAGCTGTATCTTTGGTTCAGATTTGAGAAGACATTTTAAAAAACTAAGCCATGGGAGATTTTCAGCTGGTTTTTAGTCAAGAACCTGCATATGTACTATAGCTATATAGCTTTACAAATACAAAAACCTTATCTGTGCTGTTCTCTGAGAAGCAGTGATACAAATCTTATTGTCAACTCACTCCGCCTCCTATGTTATCTCTTTGTGGAGTAAAGTATGGCTTATAGCTATGGAAAACACCCAGAAATGATATACTGACCCAAGTCTAAATGAGCTAAAGCACAATACAATTCTATATAGACTGTTCTTTTCTTTGCCACCTTGGGACATTCGTACGCTGCTCCACAGTGAACTCAACGCTCTGGGAAGAGTGAAACGAAAACCCTTTCAGTATGTTGGCGTTTGCATGTCTCAAGGAGTAAAAGGCCAAAAAGTCTCATCGTAGCATTGTACGAAGTGACAGCAACCAATCCTTTGAAAAGCCTGTCTCGGTTTCATGTTTCTGTGATGATGGAAATCAGCACCGGTAACATCCCGTTGGGTGAAACCTCACGTGCGTTTGCTGCGACTGGGGTATTCCTGCCAACAGATGTCTGCATACCTGATATATAAAGCAGCCATCTCGAACCACCCAGAGGGACCAATCATTTCCAGCAACCTGACAGCTTGTTACCCTGAATAATCCTTCTGCTTGTTAGAAACAAAACCTTTGCACCAGATTCAAACCCTCACGCATGCTTCCAGAAATAGTCTTGGGTAGCTGTAAAATAAGCAAAGATCAAAAGCAGTCTGTTCTGTAATTCATTTATTTCTGACGACTTCTCATAAATAGAGACACAGTTAATTAACAAGCCAGTTTGGTAGCACTATTGGTAATTTCCTTGTCATAATTAATGGCATTTTATTGTTACATTAAAGAAAATTTGAGGAAAAATCAGAACAAAATGCACTCAGTCTGTCACTCAGTCTTAAAGTTCAACAAAGTAATCAAAACATAAGGCTGTTCACTTTTTTTTCTTAAAGGAGACATGTCATGCTTTTAAATCATTTTCACATTATTCAGTTGGAGTCTATATAAAGTGGAGCTGCAACACTTTGGTCTGAATTCCTCCTTATTGTAACTCCACAAGCCCCTCTTTCACCCCTTTACTGAAGTGTGCCAGATCAACCCGTTTTGAGGCTGTCTCTTTGAATCCAAACAAGGCACTTCACCGCTTCTCACACACACACACACACACACACACACACACACACACACAC